ATGAGGAAGTCTCGCAGCCAATTCCGCATGACCACACCTACACCTAGGTTGGACAGCTTTCGCAGAAGGAAGTCGTGCGGCACGTTGTCGAAAGCCTTGCTGAAGTCCACGAAGATGATGTCCGTTTCGTTTCCTTCGGTCCAGCATTCACGCGCAAGTAGCATGTTTGAGAGGCATGAGCGACCCGGCCGGGAACCGTGTTGTTGGTGGTACAGGTGACCGTGGCACACCAAATGCTGCCAAAGCCGTGTAGCCATCAGTCGCTTCAAGGAGCTATTCTCTCTCCCTTCTTATTCACAACCTATATTTCTTCGATGCCCACTTTTGATGATTGTTTGTTCATTAAGTATGCCGATGATGTTGTGCATGGCATGATGTTTTTGAATCCCTCCGTGTACCCCAAACTTATGCAGAATATTTCACTGCTCACCGACTGGTCTTCACAACACAATCTTAGAATGAATTCTTCCAAGTGTAATGATATCTTATTTCCTTTACTGAAGGATGAACAGTACATTAACGTGATGAACTCTTGTTAGCGTGTCATCATCAATGGAGAACAAGTTTCCAGAGCATACTCCGTCAAATATCTTGGAGTCACCATTTTCCGCAATCTTTCTTGGTCTCCTCATGTCACCGAGACATTTCACAAAGTCAGGAAGCTCACGTTTTACATTATTCGTTTGAAAATGCTGTCTCATCCAACTCAATGAATAAAACATTTTGTCTTCTCTTGTATCCTTCCCCACTGGCTTTATGCATCCCGTTATTTTTCCGGGTCTTTTAATCAAACTTCAAGTTCATACGCACATCCATCAAACACGTATGTCGATACAATGGTATATCTCGCGAGCATGTTGTGCAGTTTATTATTTCACAGCACTTTGGAGCTTGCCAGAAACTTTCTACCAGAATGCTGTTGGACCCATCTCACCCACTGTACCCGCACCTTAGTAAATGTATCCCTACATCTAACACTCGCTCCAAGTATAAGCATATAGCAACACGCACCACAACATACAGGTCTTCTGTAATACCGTACTTGGCACGGTTTCTTACTAACGCCGATCTTGCCATTGAGACGAAATCTTTGCTAAATTTCCCTTATTTGTTTGTATATGTCGCGTATCATCATCCTTTTTGCCATGCAAGTTCCACAGAAGAATGGCTGTGTAGTAGCTGACTGTTCATTCCCTTTGGGAGGTGAATTAAGGTCGCCTCTTCGTTCGAATTGAATGTGTCCGGGATTGATTGAAAATAGATCCACTTATAGTATTTGCTTGTCTCGACTGTGTTTCTTATTGGAAGCCTTATTCCAGTTGTATTCATACCGTTACTTCCGTTCGCGAATGTTTTGTGAAGATCATCACCTGGAAAAACATGAATTGACAGTTCGGTTCATCCCAGCCCGGTGTGAGTTGTTTGACGCCTTGCATGAGATGATTCAGGAGTTCAACACCCGAAAGACGGATAGGATTCACTACTGATGAGCTGTTTTTGGAGCGAAACTCGATTCTGTGGGGCCTCTCAAGTGTGTTGTTAATAAGATGAACGGATTGCGCGTGAAGCTGAACTCTGAAAGTTCATCGGTTCAAAGCAATGTCACTCACCCCACATCACTACTGTTAATTAGATGCGAGTTAGATGTGCATTCTTGTTCTCATATTTGACTCAATATTTCAGTCCTGATTTTGGTCAGAATTACTCTTTTCATCATTTTATTTGATTGCACGCTCCCCTGTCCCACTGCACACACCTGGTCAGGCTCTCGCGTAAACGAAATGCATCTGTGGCAATGCTGAATGAATTTGATTATCACCACCCTGACGACCGGACCGTATCCACAAGTGGTTCCACAGCGGATCTGACCATTGAAGATGAAGATGCCGTGGCCTCTGACCCCGGGTTGAACAGCTACAATCGACCAATGCGAACCCGGCGTTCATTAAACAGCTATCGATCACCAGTACTCAGTTCAAAACTGCGCAAATTTAGTGCCTAAGCTCTCCTGGTTTATCACACACTACCTCATTCTTCATTCAACTTACTACTACTATTACAATCACTACTACCAGCACCACCACTCTTGTCTAGCGACTTTTCTGTTTGTGATGATCACAGTCGGTATGAGTAGTCGCGTTGCGACGTTGCACATCATACCGCATAGATCTCGCTCAGTCTCTCTCCCTCCGTGTATGTGTGTGTATTCAGTCTCCTCTCCTGCTCAAACTTCTCCCTCCCGTTTGAAGGACACAAGGACAAGGCCTTTTTTGATATTTCTCCTACGTTTTTCATCGTTCTCGATTGGGGGCAGGGATTGACTCACTTCTAAGACCACATTTTTCCATAGCCAATACTGATCCTCTGC